AGTGAAAATATAAAAACATTTGAAGGGTAATTTGGTAAATTAAGTATTAGAGGGCTTAGAGTAAAGATGAGAATATAACGGGTTTAAATTAAATAAATGGAATCAAGTTTGGCAATGCTCAGACTACTTTCACGTGTTCTTAAAATTTATTCTCGAAGAGAGATTCTGGATCTAGGGTAGACAGAAGCAATGCCATTTCAAACCACAGGAGATGAAGAACTAAGTATTCTCGATCCCTAGCATGGATTGCTTCTATGAGGTTTTTTCGGCTGTAACACTCCGATGTGGCTGATGTAGCTTCAATATAAACGAGAGAGAGAGAGAGAGAGAGAGAAGAGGAAGAGAACTAGACATTCACTCCTTAGATTTTCGGCGAAGGTTTGGTGATTGAATGAAGTGCTCTGGTGAAGTGGTTACAAAGGATTTCAGCTATTTGATTACAGAGGTCGGAAGTTGAGTCGATGGTAGGGGGAGTCTAATCTCCACTGCATCTGTTAGCCAGCAAGCAGTAACTCCGGCGAAGAAACTAGGCGGATCAAGTTTAATCTAGAGTCGGATCAGTACATATGTGTAATTGTCATGTATACGAATTGATTAGTTGCGGTGTTACCTAAGTTGAGTGTACATAGATAAAAGGTGAGGTTGGATTTGTGCTTGAAAACATTTTTTCGCCATAGCATCCACTTTCCAGAGAAGATCAGGTAACTCCGACGAAGAGATTTCATTGAGTTTGACTTCCATTGGTGAATTCCATTGATGAGGTTTCAGGAACAAATTAGAGGTCGGTAATAAGCATCCCGACGTGAACTACAAACATCCTCTGCCGTGCTTCGCCCCCAAATCCTGTAAATCCACTTGTCTGCTCCACTATCGCCCTGTGCTCCATCAATCGCTAGGTATGTTCCATCCATTTTTCTCTATTCTAGTCACGAAAAAACTAAAACATTTTTAGCAAGAATATTAAGTTCTAGAAGATTTGCTAACTACTTATTAAATTGAGTCTTTGTGAAGTCAAATTTCAGTAAGTATTATTGCTATAGAGTAGTTTTGTCCATTTGAGCAAATTTCCAATAATTTGTTTCATAAATTAGATCCTCTCGAACAATGTTTAGCTTTTGAGAACTATGAACACCATAGTAGCTTCTCAAAAGGTTGTGTTTGAGTTAATTTGTTTAAGGGTGAAAAAGTTCATGACACATATTGCTTAATTATTGTAGTGTTAATTAGCTTAGTGCTCAGTATTAAAAGAACCATCAACATTGCAAATCATACCAAAAAGATAAAGCATAAATTAGAGAAAAATATAAGGTTCACATAAAACACTGTGCATTCATTGACTAGTTCAATTTTCATATTTTTAACTAGAAACATGTTATTTGACTGAGATTATTGCTTGCTTGCTTGGAGTTAAGAACTAAACATACATTGATCAAAAACTAGATGACGCAATCCTAATCAAGAAACCATACTCTAAATAGATTATACAATCTAAAACTTGAAACAAATGATATTCATCTAATGATCTAAATCAAAAGATCAAAAAAATTACTTTTTTGTGTAATATACATTATATCACAATTGACAGAAAATAAAGAAATTCTTCCATTTCTTTCAAATAAGGCACATGTTATTGTCTAATAATAGTTTTAGCATTATCATAAAAATCAAGTCTTTTTGGCTCCAACTCCTTGTATAGATGACCCACTACACCACCATTGTAATTGTTACTATATTACACAAGATTTTGAGTTCCTGATATGCCATCTTCTGAATTGCCTCACCCAAGGCTCTTCTTGGCTGCACCTAGACTCACTTGTAAAGGCTAAAAGCATACAAATGAACATCTAATCATTCAGACATTGACTGATTGTAAGATTTATTTAAAAAAATATTTTATTTAAGAAAATAATATGATTATAATTTATTTACGAATGACGCATGAGTAATGATGGGGGCATTAAGAGCTATATGATATTGCGTTGATTTCTAGTGGTTTCATTGTGAGTAATTACTGTGATTTATATTTTGGTTGATTTATTAAAAAGGTTGAATATAATTACAAAAATGGCAAAATTGAAGTACTTTTAGTTTTGGTCATTATTAACATACAACGTATTGATTTTTAATCAAGTTTATTTTAAATTTGATTTTGCAGGTTTTGCGATTTTGGTTGAGATTATCAATTTCTGGATTGGAGTTAACTGATTACGTGTTGAATTTAGCTCATTTTCTAGTAATTCGTTTGATATGTGTTAGGTATATAGTTTTTTCGAATATTGTCGAGGGGTCTAGCATAATTCTAATCACTCTCATCAGAATACAGAAGCTCTGATTTTGGTTAAGCTTATATGGTTCAAATCAGGGTAATAACATTTTAATTCTATTTCTCTACTCTATATGCATGTTGTGGCATTTAAGGCCAACTTTACTTCCATCTCGCTCTCGAACCAACTGTAAGGTTATATATTTCATCTTTTGTCTTATTTTTGTTGTTGGGTTTTTTTTAACAACAGACTTTGACCCCTCTCCAATATCTATTTCATTAAAAAGTCCATATAATAGAAAATACTTAACTTATATACTTTCAACTTCAGTTTTACCTACCCCAAAATCAGTCAAATGTAATTTGTATTTTGCAACTTAAAACCTATAAAATGATGATGTGGCACCGCCGCACCGGTTGCTGCCATGTCATCATCAATGTGAAAATAGTTGCCTATATTAGTAAGAAATGATAGTTTGTTGCTATTGTGGGTAAAAATATTAGTACATTGTCTTGAATGGTATAAATACATAAGTACATTACTATTTTTTGTAATTTACCATCCATTTATTTCGGGAAAGATGTCACAATTCATATTAAGAGGAGAGCATATGGTGATAATCAATAGAAAAGAAAGGTGCTCCAACATTGCAATGAAAACAACATACAAAAATGGTGATAGAATATTATATATCGAATGGTGTTTTTTGTTTAATTTGTAGCGACTTTTGATTTCGAAATATGTATTTTTTGATGTGTTGGATATTTCTTTTAGTTTCTATATAAATACTTTATTACTTTTGGTTTTATGTTAATTATATTTTTATAAATTGATACAAATAATCGAATTGAATAACCAAATTTTATCGAATAATTGTATGCAACAATTGCTATGGAATAATTGCCATGGAACTTGCTATGGGAGAATTGCTACGGAACTTTCTATTGAATAATTGATACGGAATTAGCTATGGAAGGATTGCTACGGACCTTGCTATGAAATAATTGCTATGGAATTGGCTACGGAAAAAATGCTACGGAATTGGTTACGGACAAATTGCTATGAAATTTGCTACCGAAAAATTGCTACGAAATTGGCTACGGAAAAATCGCTATGGAATTTGCTACAACTAAAAAATTGCTACGGAATTGGTTACGGAAAAATTTCTATGGAATATGCTACAAAAATGCTAAGGAACTAAATATGCAACAAAATAAATGTCGTAGAAACTGTCATAGCAAAGTTGCTACGAAATTATAATTCCGTAGCTAAACACTTTGCTACAAGAAATATAGCTACGAAGTCTAATTGATAAATTGCGTAGCAAATTCCGTAGTTATTCAGCTTTAGTTCCGGAATTTCAGCTTTTTGCTATGAAATTTTTCCGTAGTTAAATTGAAATTTTCTAGTGTTATGTACAATGTAACTTATTTTTGCTGATAATGTCCCAAATATTATTACTTTTTTTTTCTTGGAATGTCAGTTTAAACATGTTTGATATCATACGGTAAAATAGAATATTACTAAGTTTTTGAAGAAAATGTACCGACTTTTTGTGTTTCATGAAATATCGTTTTACACATGTTTGATATTATGATATAAAGGAGAATAATAATATAAGTATGTGTAGAAAATGTACAAAATATTATAATCATGTTTCATATCATGCAACATAACATAAGCGTTTGATATTACCGTTGTATTGAATGTGCATAAAAATAAAGACTACACAAAAATAAGGACTAAATGTATACATATCGAAAATTATATTAAAGTCCTTTATTCTGTTTAACCTGGAGTAGCCGATTATTATTGTATGTGTACAAAAGTAAGTTAAATAATCAAATATAGACATAAAATAATCTTATTCGTTTGCTTAAAACAAAATTAAGAAAAAGACATGTATAGGGTTATGTTTTGAAATTTATATAATTCGAGAGGCCTAATAAGTACAAACAATAGACAGATAATCAATATATGGCACACGTTTCACTCGGACATTGGGACACTAAGAGCATCTCCAATGGTTAATTCATATTAAGACTTAAAACTATTGTCACATCATCATTATAATAAATTAACCTATAATTAAATAACCACTCCAATGGTTAACCCCATCAAATAACTTTTTTTTAATAAAATTTTAACTAATTTATCCATATTTATCTAAAATGCTCTATAAAACCGTCTTATTTAATTATTCTTTTTTAAACACACGTATTTTAATTTTATTAAAAATATTATAATACATTGTTTCAAAATAAATATATTACAACATATTGTTTGGAAAAATTAATACGAAAAAACTATTATGGAATAGTAATAAAAATATTGAAAAAATTATATAATCATTATAAATTTATATTTCATAAAAGAAATGTCATTAAATATTTAATATAAATAATTAATTATTAAATAAATAAAATATATTTAAAACTAAAAGATATATAGAAAGGTAAATGAAATATAACTAAAGTATGAGGGGGTTAAATGATAAAGTATAGAAGTATCAATATTTAAAAATAGCAAATAAGTTCTATGCTCCAATGGTAATAAGTTATAAAAAAATAAAGGTCAATAATAATAAGCTATAAAAAAAATTACCATTGGAGATGCTCTAATTCAGTGTCAAGAGTATATGTCAATTATTACCAATTTGTTTGTGTTAATATATAGCCACATAGATCACACTTACGTTACAACAAATTAGTACACTTTGTTCTATGTTTCTTCATCATGTCCACTTCTGATCAATCTCTAATTCCACAAACACCAGTAGAATCCAAAGAACATGAAGATCACTACAACAAGATCCGCAAGGATTACAATCACTTGATGGAAACAATGCCCAAAGGTAATGGATGGAGGGTGGAACACATCTACAACTACAATGGTTTCTGGATAAGCCCCGAATACATCAAAGCCAACTTGCTTCTTCACGCTTACTTCAAACCTCAACCCACTGACATCTTTTTGGCCTCTTTCATGAAATCAGGAACCACATGGCTTAAAGCCCTCATCTTCTCCACCCTTACCCGCCACCTCTACAGCTTCTCCAACAACTACTTACACCACCATGGCCCACAGAGCAGTTTTCCTTTTCTCGACAGTGAATGCGAAACCTTCCCCATAACTGACTTCACACATATGTCTTCTCCCCGACTTTTTGCAACCCACTTCCCTCGCAACCTCTTACCGAAATCCATGGCTTCATGCAAGTCCGTTTACATCTGTCGAGAGCCAAAAGATGTTTTGGTTTCAAAATGGTTTTTCATGAGCAAACTTAGAGAGAAAGATCTGCCTTTGTTTTCCTTTGATGAAGCGTTTGATCTTTTCTGTGAAGGGGTTTCGGACTACAGGCCGTTTTGGGAACATGTTCTGTCGTACTGGAGAGCGAGTTTGGAGTCACCAGAGAAGATTATGTTTTTGAAGTATGAGGAAGTGAAGAGGCAACCAGAGGTGGTGGTGAAGAGGTTAGCGACGTTCATGGGTGTGCCATTCACGGCAGAGGAAGTGGAGAAAGGGGTGGTGGAGAACATTGTGAAGCTGTGTAGCTTTGAAAATTTGAGTAATCTGGAGGTGAATAAGAAAGGTGTTGAAACGTTTGGTAAGGTGGAGGTGAAGAATCGTGAATTTTTCAGGAAAGGTGTGAGTGGAGATTGGAGAAACTATCTTTCCGATGAGATGAAACAACGCATTGATGGAATTATCGATGAGAAATTGAAAGGTTCTGGCTTGATCTTTGGCCCTTGATTCGGTGGTGGTTTATGAAAACTCCTTTCGGTGTATCCTTAATATGTTGCCTACACGAGTGTGTATGTGTGTGTGTGTGTTTGTGTGTGTGTGTGTGTAAGACTAGCCAATGAAGGAGAAGGCTCTATTAGTATGCACTATACACCACGTTGTGTATGGTATATTCGTTCAAATAAGAATAAAAATCATCACATGTGGAAGATTACTCGTTGGGTGGATGTACACAATTGTTTTGGATCATGTATCGGCAATCATAACAAAAATCTAAACTCTACAACTATTGGCTCATACAACCTCCATTCAATTGCAAGGATGTTGTTTATCTAGTGAAAACTATACTGTCACATATTAAAAATAGTCTAAATGTTGATGTTTTTTATGATAAGCATGACATGATAGGCGAAAGCCATATATAGTATATATAGAACTTGGGAGAGTAAGTTTGATGAGTTTCCCAAGTATATTGCAGCTTTGTAGCCTTCAAATTGTGATACAATTGTGCAGTGGTTTCATTGTCCAAATAGATCATCACATGTAACGACATTCAAATATGTTTTTTTGGGCTTTTGGACATGCTATTAATGTTTTTCATATATGACGACCTACTATTTTAGTTGATGGCTTCGATTTTAAGGGTTTGCTTAGAGGAAAAATGATTGTTGTTGTCACAAAAGATGCTAGCAATAGTATATTGCTTGTTGTGTATGCTATTGCTGACGAAGAGAGTTCACACAGTTTGTCACACCCCCGACCGGCGGCGGAAACGTCGGGTTGTGCGACGTTAGAATGTTGGATCACAGTTATTGAACATACATTGAACAATACAAAATAATAAAAAACATAAATATTACTTCCATTATGGATAAAAATATTACATCAAAATGTATTTATGATATACTAGAAAGTCTAATACAAAAGGCGCCTTAGTGGTTAGACATAATTATAATGATAATAAGTCTTTGGTGGCTTCATCGATCAACTGCTGCTTTCGGAAGCACAATCTTTTATTTCTTTATTTCTTAGGAATACATGTGGTTTTGAAAGGTCAATATAATGTTGGTGAGGTCATAGGTTTTGTATATTATACCTTGAAAATACTTTTTGTATATAACTTTGTTGACTTGTAAATGTATTTTGATTCTTTGCTTTGCAAATAGTATTCTATTATTCATAGGTACTAGGGATTCCGAAGTTCTTATTCGTCTTATATGCTATTGGTGTATCCATATCTTTAGAGTATACTTAAGGAAATGAGTGCTTTTAAGAGCGGGCTAACCGAGAGTGAACTTATTGTAGGTTAGTTGGATATAGTCCAACCATCACCTATATAACTGTATACTTATGACGTGAATGGAGTCTCGATGTTTTGTTATATATTTATAATTAATATATATTTATATTTAAATAGATATTCTTAGTAAAAGCAACTAGCAGAGTGGTAATATATCCATTATTCGAGTTGAATGACGACATAACGTACTACAGTTATGCGTTCGAAATCAGGTGTAGTGACGGCATAATATACTACTATTATCCGTTTGAATTGAGGGTAATGACAACATAATATACTACTATTATTCGTTTGATTTGAGCGTAATGATGACATAATATACCATTATTATCCGTTTGAGTTGAGTGTGGTGACGACATAATATACCACAATTATCCATTTGAGTTGAGTGTGGTGACGACATAACACACTACTATTATCCATTTGAGTTGAGTGTGGTGATGACATAATATACCACTATTATCCGTTTGAGTTGAGCGTAGTGACGACATAATATACAACTATTATCCGTTTTAGTTGAGTGTAGTGACGGCATAATATACCACTATTATCCGTTTGAGTTGAGTGTAGTGACGGCATAATATATTATTATTATTCGTTTGAGTTTAGCGTAGTGACAACATAATATACTACTATTATTCGTCTGAATCGAGCGTAATGATGACATAATATATTATTATTATTCGTTTGAGTTTAGCATAGTGACAATAGGGAATGATCTTATTCCTATGAATTAGGCAGAGTAACGACTAGGTATAATATATTCCTTAAGAGTTGGTTAGAGTAACGACTAGCTGTGATACTTTCCTAGAGAGTTGGCCAGAGTAACGACTATGCGTATTAACGTTTCCTAACAACTGGCCAGCGTAACAACTAGGCATGATGTTTTCTATCAGTGTGAGGCAATATAACGACTATGCATAATATTATCTTTAAAAGTTGGACAGAGTATCTACCCGACATAATATCATCCTAATGTTATTAGCTTAATTATCGATGTAACGTCCCAAAAATTCACACAAAAAATTTCAGTTTTATAATAATAAAACCATCATCCAAAACGTGCTCATAAAACCATAAAAGAAAATCAAAGTCAATAATTATCCAAATACATCAAGTCAACAAAATACGAAAACAACATGGTGTGTGCGATGTGATCATCTCGAGCCCTTCCCCTTCGATCCGGAAGTACCTGAAACATAAACTGAAAATCGTAAGCACAAAGTTTAGTGAGTTCCCCAAAATACATCATACCATACATATCAAATATACAATGGGGCATGCCCAACAACCATTGGCCCCCTCTCAGAATAAATCTGTCAATAACATGGGATGGGCTTCGCGTCATCACATTCATCAGGCCTCGCCTGGCATTGGGCCCTACCCAACATTTATACAGACACATAAAAACACATGCAAGAATCACTAAGACAAATAGCATACAATCCACTCATCAGGCCCTGCCTGGCATCCGACCCCGCCCGTTATACATGTCACATACTACACATCCGAGAGTCACACAGACAACTAGCATCCTAACTATAATAAATCATGGGCTGACATTGGTGCCTTTGACCCGTCAAGAATAGTGAGGAGACTCACCTCAGTCAGAAGATAACAAATCTTACATCCATGCCTGCTGCACAACGGCTCCTCACTTTGAACATAATCAATACCAACCTTAGTTTTTATCTAAGGTTCATCCCATAAATCCTAAGGCCCAAAATGGCCCAAACCCAAAATAGGCCCACTAGTGACCCAGGCCCAAATAGAGAACCCTAAGGACCAACATGGGACTGAAAGCTCCAAAATGGCCCAAAGTCAACGATCCAAGCTCTAACACCTGACCCTCAAGCCGTGACCAGCTCATGGTCACGTCTGGGTATTAACTCAACCCAATACTAACTCAGCGGGTTAACTCAGCCCATCAATTCAATTCCAATCACTGTCACGTTATTACATCTTCCTGACTCATGTAGTGACCTAATTCAGACAAAATAATCGGGATGGAAAGCATCCTCACGACGTGACAGACTTAATTCTCAAGTCATGAGCGCTGCACTAACAAAATTTTAGCATTAAGCTCTTATTCCTTACAGCCATAACTTGGTACTTTCCAGAGGATCTTCCCTCACCAAAAGGATAATAAAAATCATAGATTTTTAGTCATGCATGTCCAATCATGACTCAAAAACTCACTAGGTCAAAAGAGAGAAAAATGAGATATAGACTCATGCTTGGGGTCTTAAACTATACCAAAACTCAGATCCAAAGACTATATCACAAAGAATGACTCAATGATCCATAACGTTTCCAACTTTATGGATCCCATGCATGAAATCTATCACAATCATGTAAAAAGGAGCTTAAAACTTAGATATAACATGCAATAGGTAAAAAGGTCCGAGCTTTATGATTTACAATGGTCCAAAATCTCAAGAAGAAGGTAAGGTAGAAGCTGAAGGCCAAGAGGTTGCTCTACCAAGGTCTTATTCCACTTCAATGAGTCAAAAACCACCAAATAATGCTTCAAGATCACAAAAATGGCTAAGGACTTCAAGTGGCTCGAGATTAGGGTTTCCAGGAGGCAAGAGAGTGAAGGAGGATAAGGATGGGAAACCCTAGCCCTCACATTCCATTATATACCCGAAATATTAGGGTTTTGGTCATTAGCCGTTCTCACATCGTGAGCATTCAAAGTCTCACATCTTTAGACTTAAAAAAACGGGTCAACTAGTCAATGGTCACTCACGACGTAACCACCCTGTATCACGTCGTGAACTTCTTCCAAAGCCAAAAATTCAAGAAATTAAGTACCTCCATGATCTGGGTGTTACAATTCTCCCCCACTAGAATCAGACTTCGTCCTCGAAGTCCGTTACTGTAAATAACTTGGGATAAATGCTCCCTCATATCCTCTTCAGGCTCCCACGTCCATTCTGAAACCTTGCGGTGCTGCTATTACACCTTTACCAGATCCACTGACTTGTTCCGCAGAACCTTCGTCTTCCTTTCAAGGATGGAAATCGGTCTCTTAATATTATTCAGGCGATCATCCACCTGAATATCATCCAATGAAACCACTGTGGAATCATAGCCAAACATTTTCGTAGTTGAGAGACGTAAAACATGTTATGGATCTAACTAAGCTCCTCAGGTAGATCCAAGCGATAAGCAACCCTGCTCACTTGGGCCAAAACCCTGAAAGGACTGATATACCTGGGGCCCAACTTGCCCCTCTTCCTGAATCGGATGACACCCTTCCAAGGTGACACCTTCAGGAGCACCATGTCCCCAACTCGGAACTCTAGATCTGATTGGCGCTTGTCGGCATAGCTCTTCTACCGACCATGAGCTGTTTGAAGTCTACCCCGAACCTGATGAATCAAATCAGTAATTTTGAGTACCACCTCAGTACTCCCCATGACTCGCTAACCGACCTCACCCCGACTGTTGTTATACAAAATGGACATCGATCAATGCTGGCGTGATAACTGTTGTTATACGAAAACTGCACCAAAGGAAGATACGTATCCCAACTCCCACCGAGATCCAATACACAGGCTCGAAGTATATCCTCCAGGGTCTGGATAGTCCGCTCACTCTGGCCATCAGTGTGCGGGTGGAAAGCCATGCTAAAATGCAGTCGAGTACCCAAATCCTCATGAAAACTATTCAAAAACCTGGAAGTAAACTGGACATCCTTGTC